TGGTATGCTCCAAAATATTTGCGTTTTCTTTACAAGTGAACAACAGTTTGGGTATAAAATGGATGAACCACACTTTCTTTTCTTGTGGATTTTTTAGGTACTTCTCTGCTGTCTTCTAGCATTGAATGTTGCTATGGGAAAGTCTGAGCCAGTTTGAATGCCTCCCTAGCATCCTCCCCGGCAACTACCTTCCCGCCCACCCCTTTATAGGGAACCATTTGCCTGGACGTCCAATGCATTCTTTCCTTAGCTTTAAAACCTAGTGACTTCACTAGGATATGTCTTGACATATGAATATATGTCAGTTTTTTCCTGACACAGTGTGCCCTTTCAAATTTAGGTCTGAGCCTTAGTTTCTGGAAAGCTTTCTCAAAATTTTTTCCTCTTCCAATTATTTTATGTTTTTCGTCAGGGATGTTGGACATCCTTCATCTAGCTTCCATAATGATCGAGTTCTCTCTGTTCCCTTTCCTTAAAGTAAAAAGTATTTTTGAAACATTACACACATACAGAAAAGTGCACGAATCATCCTTGTATAGCTTGATGAATCTTTACAAAGTAAACACATCCATGTAATCACCACCCAGATGAAGGTATTAGAGCATTTTCAGAACCCGAAAAGCCTCCTTTGTGTCCCTTCCCAGTCATTACTCCCCACAGAGATAACCATTATGCAGACATCTAGCCCCATAAATTAGTTTTCTCTATTTTGAGCTTTACATAAATGAAATCCTATAGAATGTGCTCTTTTTTGGTCTGGCTTTTACACTCACCATCATGTCTGTGAAATTCATCTGTGTTGCTGTGTGTAGCAATACATCATTTTTTCATTGCTGCTTAGTATTGCATTGTATGAATATACCACAAATTATTTAATCCACTTCACTATTATTGGGCACTTGGGTAGTTTCCAGTTTGGGGCTGGTATGCATGGTCTGCTATGAATGTTAGTTACATGTCTTTTAGTGAAAACGTATACACATTTCTGTTGGGTAGATACCCAGGAGTGGAATTTTGCTGAGTCACGGAGGATGCATATGTTCAGCTTTAGTAGGTTCTTGGTTCCTTTTTAATGGTTCATTTCCATCTCCTTCACTTACTTCTTGAAATCCTATCCTCTGTTTTCAGCAAGGGCTAGCTTCCTTTGTGCTGTTTCCAAAATGACCTTCACTTCTGAGATGGTTTTATTTTTCTTAAATGCCTCTTTGCTGAGCTCTTCCAGTTGTCTCGTCATCTCTTCTTTGAACTATTGCGTCTTTGCTTTGATCTATTGTTAAAATTCATTAAGTCCTTTGAGTTCTTTGTTGTTCATGATTATCATCTACCTCATAGTATAGTAATTTTTTTTCTGGTATCTTTGATCAACCATTTGTTTTTCTTGTTCCCTGTCTTCCTCCCCTGCTTTTTTAGTGATGTATTTATATTGGTCTGGTGCTGTTTCTTTTTGACTATAACTCCCATTTAAATGAAGTGAATTCTTCCTGGACCAGCTGGGGTTTGGTGTGGAGAAGGGATCAGAGTAGAGCCCCAGGCTGGCAGTAAGTCTCTTTGGTTCTTAGTGAAGGTCCTTATGACACATGTTTTATGTTAGTGTGTGAATTGGTTTAGCCTTTTCCTCCTCCAGGCAGATGGAGCCTGGAAGCTGCAGGGCTGCAAAGATGGCATGTCTGTGTTTGCCTGGTCAGCCCACATCCCCTGCTTCTCTTTGGTGCTAGTGGGACCAGGAAAGCTCCCAGAGCCAGCTTTATATAACCCATCTGATGTTGTAAAGAAGGCACTGTTGGTTCCATTCTCAAGCCACCACTTTTTTTTGAGAACTTCTAGCTCTGCTAGCTCTCCCTGAGACCTGCAGCCACTGGTCTCTATTGGGTTAACCCTCTATATCTTCTCAGCACTCACCATTTCTGCACAGGCTGATGTGATGGCTTCCTACTGTAAGCACCTTTGCCAGAGGGCTTTCTCTGGCCACTGGAGTGCTCAGCCTGGAAATGCTAGGGAGTCCGTGACTCCAGGGGTAGCCTTAACCAATGGAACAGCCCTGAGGCATGCTGTATGCAGTCCTCCTAAGGTCCCCAGCAGGTTGGAACCCCAGTTGCCCACAAGGGTGACAGGCTCATTAATGTGCCCTCTGTCAAAAAAACAAAAAAGTTTTTTTTACATTTATGAAGATGATCAGATGATATTTTTCCTTAGCTATGCTACTGTAAAAACTATGGATTCTCTACTAACCATTGTTGCACTCTGGAATTATACATTATTTTTAAATATGCTGTTGGATTCTGCCTATATTTTATTTAGATTTTTAAATCAGTATTTGTAAATGACATTGATCTTCAGCTTTCTCTTTTTGTGTAATCTTTATCAGGTTTTAGTATCAACATTCTACTCACTTCATAAAAAATATTTTGGTAGTTTTACTTTTTCTAAACTCTGGAACACTTTAAGAAGCATTGGGATTATCTGAAGTTATCTGTGAAAACTTCAGGGCCTAGTACTTTTTTTGGTAGTGGGAGAGCTCTTCAACAACTTCCTCTCTTTCTTCTACAAAAATTAGTTTATTTGAGCCAAAAAGGTGGAAACAAGCCAAGTGTCCATAAAGAGATGAATGAATAAACAAAATGTGGCATATATGTACAATGGAATAGTATTTGTCATAAAAAGGAATGTAGTTCTAATACATCTACAGCACAGATGAACCTTGAAAACATCATGCCAAATGAAATAACCCAGACACAAAAGGACAAACATTGTATGATCCCACTTATATGAAATATCTGGAATAGGAAAATGCATACAGACAGAAAGTAGATTAGTGATTACCAGGGGCTGTGGGCAGGGGCATAGCGAGTGTAAGAGAGCCCAGGGGCAATCTCTAAATTGTGCCACCACCACCCTCCCCAATTTCAAGATGAATAGATGTAGATAGTGGCGATCTGTCAGCAGAAACGCCTTCCTCGCTCTTGTCTGGATGCCTCAGTCAGAAGCCTTTCATACTTGTGGCTCCTCGGGATGTCATTGTCCACCTCATCTGGCACCACTTTGGACTTGCTCCAGGAGGCAAGTGCTCCCCTCTGCCCTCCCTCACTATGCCTCTGGCTGTGGGAGTTAGGATAAATGGGAATTATTGCTTAATGGGTACAGAGTTTCTGTTTGGGGTGATGAAAAAGTTTTGGAAGTAAATAGTGGTGATGGTTGTATAACATGGTGAGTGTGATTAATGCCACTAGACTGTACACTTGAAAATGGTTAAAACAGCAAATTTTGTGTTATGTATATTTTACCACAATTTTAAAAAATTGGTGTATTTGACTTTCTGTTTCTATTGGTGTCACTTTGGTAACTTATGTTTTCCTAGAAAGCTATTCATAAAAATTCTAGTATTTAAGTGTTGACAGCTAATTCAAATTTTTAAAAAAAGATATAGGCTGCTAAAACATGTCTTAAGACTCAATAGACCTGTGGACCACCATTTTTGCAACCACTGATTATGGTCAAAGAATTTTGGACCTGAAAGAGGCCATATAGATCTATACTGGGGGGTTGCAAACTCACATGCTTACAGGTGCCTGACAAGTAACATAATTGTGTGAGGAACATAAGTGGTGAAGACTTTGGTGAGTTGGAAAGCCTGCCTCCTAACTAAAAACAGTTAATTTTTAACAGTATTCTAACCAAAACAGTATGTGGGTCAAATAAAGCACCCCGCAAGCTCAGTTCAGCCCAAGAGTAGCTAGTTTGTGGCCTCTTGACAGTCCACCTCGGTTCCTGCCATGTCCCCTGAGTATCTCACATTCCAGCCACATCTCATGCTCCCTCAACACATCCTGCATTTTCCTCATGTGTCTTTCATAGCTTTATTATACAGAGCCTTTCTCTTATGAATGTGGAAGCATTTTTTCTTCCCCACTATATTATGAACTCCTTGTGAGCAGAGATCATGTCATGTTCACCTTTTTATGCTTTGTACCAGGGTTTTGAGCATGTTAGTTTTGGTTTGACCTCCTGCTGAGAGTTTACTTTTCCACCCCAGATATACTGAATCAGAGTCTACAGTTTTACAAGATTCCCAGGTGATTCTTATGGATCTCCAGGTAATTCTTATGGGGATCTTGTTCTCACAGAATTTCCCATAATGCAAATTCGCAGCAGGAGGTCAAACCGGACTGCACCGATCTGAAGCGCTGCTTTGTACATATTGGAGCTCTATAAACATTTGTGGCATAACTTTTATAATCAACAAACAATAAGGAACTTCCCATTTTGAAATTATTTGTGGGATTGAATCTCATTCCATTTATACAGGAGGAAAATGACCCAAAGTGGTTGAGTGACTTACCCAAGATCTCATAGGAGTAGGATCAGTTTCTATTCCAATAATCTTTCTGGCATCCTACCTTATAATATTTTCCATTATAAAATTAGGAACTGGAACATAAATGGGACTTTCTTAATTTCTAGAACTGACTTTAATGTCTAACTTGAATGTCCAGCCTACCTCATAGCAGACAACTTAATTTAGATGTCTTCACGTAAATTGAGATCCAATCCAGTGATTTTGACCCATCTCCAGCCAGTTTAAAGCTCCCCAAACTTCCTGCCTTTTCCTCCCCAACACTTATCTAATTTCCAGGGAAATTATACAACCACAGCTAGCAAGAGATGAGGTTGGGAGTGTCCACTTTTGGGTCTCATCAGATCTACTTACTGGTGTCCTTTGATGTCCCTGTTAGTCTGGATCCTCTCCTTGTCACTCGGTCCTTGGGCAACTCAGAAGGCTAATGGGAACACCTCTCGTGTCCACTGCCACCTCCCACAATCTTTTTTGCATTCCCCTTGTCCAGTAATTTCTCTGGGAAGCCCCCTAAACGTCTGTAGGATATCCTCTTGTAGTTCCTTCCTCAGGACTAAGTAATTTACAGATATCTTTAAACCCACCTACAGGCCCCAGGTTAAGTTTAGGACATATATTGATGTATATTCCATTCTCCTGAATTTTGCAGATTGAGAAATCAAGACGCAAAAAGGCAAAGGACTGGTACAAAATCAGAAACTTCGTAAGTAGTTCCGTGAAGATAGAATTATTTTTTTTTCTTTGTAATAATTGCCAGTTTTATTCCCCTGGCTAAGAGATCCAGAGGTAATTTGAAGTTCATATTTATATTTCTTTTTATAGTTTTCACCAAGACTTTATGTGCCCCCATTGCCCTTATAAATTGATTGTAAATTATTTTATAAACTCTTACTTATAAAAAAAAATCTTTGTTTTTGTGTGTGTGTGATGCAAGTATTATGTTCATTAAAAAATACATACAACCAAAAAGCAAGAACAAAAACTAATACCACACAGAAATTAGCATAGTTAAGTTAAGCACACACACACACACACACACACACACACACACTTCTTCTATGGGGGATCCTCTTGGATTTCCTTCCCTAGGACTAGGTCTGTGGTGAGCGGGGAGAAAACTCTGCACTGTTTCTTTCTCTCTTTCTAAAACTTTCTCTTCCTGAGTCTCCCCCTGAGTTCTTTATATCGCTTTTCTGGCTATGGGGTGAAAAAACCAGTTCTGCCTCCCCTAGGAGTGGTGTCCTGTGAATTTAGTAATTTATAGCCTGGGTGTTTCCTCCCAGCTAGGAAGCTGTCCTCACTGCCATCAGTGCCCTTCTACGTAGCCATCAGTTTGGGGGAGAGCTGGCGGATAGACCTAGCTGGATAGGAATGGCATACTGGACAACACTTAAAATCATGGTTTTCTACTGAGGACCCTGGTGCGGGAACAAATTAAGATTTTATCAATTGCCATCTCTAATCTAGCCAAAAAAAGTACTTTCAACCCTGTATTTTTTACTAATTTGAGAAGGACCTCGGAGCATTGCGTTCCAGTCACAAGTTCCTTTTCACATCTAGTACCCCATTTGCTTGCTGTCTTCTGATTCTGAGTTTTCCTGATTATTCCAATTTAACAAGATTTACGGTACATGTCATGTGCCCATACACCAGGGCCTTTCTCCAAATTTTAAGCCTCAGAGTGGTCCCCAGGCTGAGGTACTGGATGCCCCTGCCCCCAGCCCAGAAACCTGCTAGTTTCTTTAACATGACCCCATGACCCCGGCAGTCATTTAACTCTGTCTCCTCATGTATGGAGTAGATGTAGCCCCTCATGGGCAGTTGTGAGGATGAAGTAGGATCATGCCTCTGAGTACTTAGTAAGTATTAGATTCCCAGATTCCAGTTCCTGCACACTGCCCCCTCCTGCTTCCAGAATCCTTCATTGTGACATAAGTAGACTCTGAGAATGAGATTTTTTCAGAACAAGGCTTCCAGCAGCTGTTGGTAGGGTATGAGGAGTGGAGATGAGCTCTTACCTTGCCACTGAGGGAAGCTATTTGTTTCTAGTGTAACTGGATTCTTAGGGAAGGATCTATAGTCCTCCCGTTTAAAGACAAAGGGACTAGTTGTGCCACTTGCCAACTCAGGAACCATGAGGAGATACTTGGTAGATTATACCTGGCTGTTCCTGAAGAAGGAATTGGTGAGTAGTATCAAGGGTCCTGGCAGGGGTGGATTAACCAGTAAGCACTGTGTGCACCAGCTTACAGTAAGTGAGGTACAGATGGGCTTAATTGTGCTTACTTAGTAATCTGTAGTGCACAATTTCACCCAAAACCAGGTGAAATTGCATGCTACAGATTAATAAGTAAACATAATTAAGACCGTGTGTACCTTGCTTATTGGGTAATGTGTCCCTGGTTCCTGGGAGGCAAGAGCGGAAGACTGAACAGACAGTTATTATGGGGAAGGGAGAAGCAGGTGTAGGAGGGGGGCTCAGACAAATGATTGCCCCCCGCATACCTTTTGGAGTCACAGCATGGCATAGCACAAAGGAAAGAGCAGCAGACTAGGCTTCAGAAGGACTGAATTAGACCCCTACCCTGTTGCTTACTACCCCTGGACACTGGGCAAACCATATGCCACATTCTGAGCCCCTGATTCCTATTCTGTACCCACCTTTCATGGTATCATGAGATCCAAAGAGAACATCACAGCGGCCGGGTAGACTAATGTTTAAGTTTATGGGCTCTGGAGCTGGACTGCCTGAGTTCAAATCCCTATCACTTATTAGATGTGTGGCCCTAGGTAAGTTACTTGATATTCTATGCCTTTGTTTTCTGCTCTGCAAAAGGGTGCTGATAATATTAGTACTTACTGAACAAATAGGGTTGCTATGAGTTGGAATCAACTTGACGACAATGGGTTTGGTTTGGGTTTGAACAGATTTATTGTTGTGTATTAAATGAGTTAATACATATTAAGGGCTTAGAATAGTGCCTGATGATAGTAAATTCACTCAATAAGTATTAATTTTTAAGAAAGTACTTTCCCCTATGTTTCCTTTAGATATATTATGTCTTCCGGCTCTATCCATATTGTAGCATGTATCAAGACTTTATTTCTCCTCCTGGCTGAGTAGTATTCCCTTGTATGTATGTACTACATTTTATCCATTCATCTGTTGATGGGCATTAATTTTAAAAGAAGCAAAACATTACAGTTCAAGGTAAAGCTCCATGCCATCCCATGCCTATCTCTCTCGGCTTACTGGTAACCACTTTCCTGAGGTTGATGTATACTCTTCCTATCTATATTTCATATTTTATTACATGAGCATATCCATAAACAACATATAGTGTATGGTACTTTTTTAAGAATGGCATCATATTTCACCTTTTTTCCACTCAAAATTATGTTTGAGCTTTATCCACATTGACACAAACAGATCTAGTACTGTGTTCAATCCTGTGACTGTATAGTCATGACTTGATCCCTTTCCCTACTGATGGACACTTGAATTTTTCTCAGCTTTTCACTGTTACAGACAAAGCTGCCATGATCATCCACATGGCTGTCTCCTTGTATATATGTGTGAGCATTTCTCTAGCATATGTACATAAAGTGTACAATATTCTTTGATTGTAAGGTATACTTTTCCAGTTGCCTACCAGGGTGATGTGGTATCCCTGGCTGATTATATTAGCCCACCTGAATAATACAGGATAGTCTCCCCATTTCCAGGTCAGCTGATTAGCAACCTTAATTCCACCTGCAGTCTTAACTCTCCTTTGCCATATTCATAGGTTCCAGGGATTAGGACATCTTTGGGGGGCTGTTATTCTGCCTACTACAGGCATTCATCCCAATCCAATCAAATGTGGCTGAGGGTTGGAGTCAAACTGTTAGGAGTCCATCACTGTGAATTGGGAGGCAGTTAACAGGGTTGTTGTGAGCTAGACAGATGCCCCAGAAGTTGTTCACTACATCTCTGATGTGGGGAAGGGTACTGTGATGGGAGCAGACCTGTGACTAACCCTGGGGGTTCCTACGTGGAACGCAAACAGTTTTTCCTCTTATCTGACCCAGGAAGGACTGAGGACATGAAGGGACAAGGATGGAGAATAGGGTAAGGGTCTCTGGAAAAGGCTAGGACTTATGGATCAGATTCCCTCATTCCTTTGTCAAACACTAAGAACGATGGAATGTCCACGATCAGTTCACATTTATTGTCCTCCAGCTGTATGTGTAGTATAGTTTTAGATCATGTATGGGGACATCTCTGTCACAGGCAGAAACTTTCCAGGAAGAAACACAGTCACTACCTTCAAGGAGAAGTTGGTTTCTTCCTTGATTTACATTATTTATTTATTTTTTCCCTGTGTAATTGCACAAAAGGTTTGAGGTGGCATATAAGAAAGACAAACTATGAAAAGTAACATAAAATTTTAAAAATAAGAGCTACCAGGGGAAAAACACATCAGAATAGGAGTTGTAGAGAAATAAAAAAATATGGATATAAGATCCTACACAGTTGCTATACTTGAACCATAAATTTGGCTATGAGCTTCCTGGTAGCCAGAGCAGAAAGGGAAACCTGGCTGACAAAACAATATCTTCAGCTGGTTCTTCAGTTAACATTTTTCTCAAACTTCACAATCCTAGTTGTCTCCTCTTTCAGTATCCTAGAATTGAATGTAGTCCTCATGAGGGTGGTCTGATGAGAGAATATTAGCCTGGGACTATCATGCTCCTTGTTTTGGATAGCTATTGATGTATAGCTTGAGATTACATTCATTTTTTTAGAGGCCACAACTCATTCTGATCTGTTACTGAGTTTGCACCATGTAAGTCATCTTATTCCCATTCATATATGCAGCTATTAAGGTAGATTGTCCCCACCTTTATAACTGGAAAACTAAATGGTACTGGTTAGGGTCAGACACTGTTCTAGGTGCTTTATAAACATTATCTCAGTAATATTTTTAACAACATAAGACAGAGAGATGAAAAAACTAAAACCTCATAGAAGGTCTAAAACTTAACTAATTTCACATAGCTAATAAGTGGTAGAGCTGGGATTTGAACTCATATCCATCTGATTTCAAAATGCAGGTTCTTTGCATTACCCCATACTGCCTGTGGTTACTTGTTCTCTTTATTTTTCAGACTGAAACGAAGAACTTGACATATAACTAGTAGTATGCTGGTGGATGTTTAACAACTGGCTCTTGGGCAGGGGGGTTGCCCTCATTTGTTGTACTTGCTGATTTCTGTGGTGTAAAAGTTGCCACCATGGCCAATTTCAAGCTACCAACATGATTTCAACAGACTAGGAAATTTCCTGAAAATGTAACCATCACTCTAGTGCACCACTGCATTTAACCCTGTTAAATTTCACCTTTTCAGCACCATCCGGTCTGCTGTTGACTATTGAAAACAGATGGTTTCTGATGATCTCGTTTCTTTATCTCCATAGGGACTGTACCAGCTCACCAAGGATATCATTGTGATGATCCGAGTGTGCAAAATGTTCCGCCAAGGCCTCAGGGGATTCCGGGAATATCAGATCATTGAGACTGCTCACAGAAAGCACCCAATCTTCTCTTTCTGGGATGTAAGCAGCTGGGATCAACAGGATTATGAGAGTTTGAGGGGGTCCAATAAATAGTACCCCATTTCCCAGCCCAAGCTCTGAGCCAACTGAGAGAGAAGACAAAGGGTGAAGCAGATGGGGGACCCAGCTGTCACTTTTATTAATTATAAGACTTAAATTGGAGAATGTGACTTGTGTCATCAGGCAAGAGGATTACCTAATTCTGAATCCTGAAATTAGACAGTCTTACCCACCCAGTCATAGGCAGCGCTGGGCCAAGGCAGGCCTCCACCATAAACTCACTGCAGAGGATGGAGCAGAGTGTGGGCTCAGAGGGAAGGAGAAAGGGATGATCATGCCCAATTTCTCCTTCCAAATTCACCAAGGAGTTTAAGTCATTCCTCAGTGTGGAAGGAGAGAGGCTAGTAGTGTTCTAATATAACTCTTTCCATGTGGAAAATAAGATCAGGAGTGAGGGAGAAGCGCTTTCCATTCCATCAGGGATCAAAAGAGCCAGAAGAAATCCAGGAGTCATGATATAATCAGAAGATGGGGTTGGATTTATTCATCCCTAAAATCTTGTATATCCTTCCCCTCCTGACTGTACTTTAGACATGGACTGTGGAATCAGAAAGCCTTGAGTTTGGATCCTAGCTGCAACATTTACTAGGTTTGTGATGATTGGAAGGAGCCCTGGTGGCACAGTGGTTAAGTGCTCAGCAGCTAATCAAAAGGCCAGCGGTTCAAACCTACCAGCCACTACATGGGAGAAAGATGTGGCAGTCTGTTTCCATAAAGATTTACAGCCTTGGAAACCCTATGGGGCAGTTCTACTCTGTCCTACAGGGTCGCTATGAGTCGGAATCAGCTTGACAGCAATGGGTTGGGTGATGCTTGGGCAAGTTCCTTCACCTCACTTAAGTCCAAAACAGGACTTAATATCTGTTTTGTCCTGATGATTAAATGGAGAAGGAAGATGCATGGTGCCTGGCTCATTATAGGTACTTAGCAAAGGTGGGAGGTCCCTGGATGGTGCAAAGAGTTAAGCTCTCGACTACTAGCTGAAAGGTTGGCCGTTCAAACCCACCCAGAGGCACCTCAGAAGTCCTGGTGATCTGCTTCTGAAGGGTCACAGCCTTGTAAACCTAATGGAGCAGTGCTAGTCGCGTACATGGGGTTGCATGAGTTGGAATCGGCTTGAAGGCAACTAACAACAACAAGCAAAGACTGGCTTCATCTGTTCCTTCCTCTTACATCCATTCCTCTTTGTTTGTCTTTTTCCTCTATACTTTCCCATTTGTTTCTTCTTTTCCCTCTTCCTTTTTTTCTCTTCCTTTCTTCTATTTTCTCTCTATCCTCCTTTCTCTCTGTCACCCCTGCCCCCATGTGTCTCTGCCTTTGCAATAGTATGTTGTCAGTGCTGTGCCCAAGCCTAATGCTAAGTTGGGGCTTTTGAGCAGAGGTGGACATGAGAGGGCCAGCTCATACGAGGTTTCCCATGGCTTCCTGCCCACCAAGGAGGTCTAGGTACTGCAGAATAGTTTGGGATGCAAAATTCTAGGGGCAGTATTTGCTGATTCTCCTTCTTCCTCCCTCCTCTTTTCAGAAAAAGAAGCAGGGCCGAATCACATTTGACACCATGGAGTTTATTGCTGAGAAGGTATGCAAAGCCCTAGACTTGCTGTTGGGGAGTTTTCTTTCTGCACCATGGCCTGGAAGAAGCACTGGGCTGGGCATCAGGAGATCTGGTTTCAGTCCAGGCTCTGCTACCAGCCAACCCAGTGTGTCACCCTGAGCTAGCCACTTAGTTTCCTTGTCTATAAAATAGCTGATCTCAGTGATCCCTTTCAGCCCTGGCATTCCAAGACTATGAACTCCCCTGAACCAATTGTTACTTTATAGCTAAGCAGAACTAACAGGGGAGAGCTCCTGGACTTGGACCGTGGGAAAAAGATGGAAGTCAAAGCAGAGGATGTGAGAGCCCCAGACAGAGGAGAAAGAATCAGGATGGTGGGGAAAGTCCTGGTCTAGAACTTGGGAGGTGACTTGCAAGTGAATTCTGCCTCTGCCCTGATCTCTCTGTGAGGCCCTGGGCACACCTGTCCCCAGCTTGGGTGTAAGATGAGGCAATTGGATCAGATGACCCTAAAGCATTTCCTTGATCTGAAGAGGAATTGCCTTTATAGCTGTGCGAGGCTTTGCACTGTTTGACTTGTTTTCTGCATTGCATGAATCATTGTTATCTTCCTGGCTTTTCCTCACCAAATCCTGGATGTTAAATTAAATTGTAAAAATAAATTAAAAATTTAAAGGAGGCTACCTATTGATAGGGAAGATCTGAAGTTCTTACCAGTGTAGACCTGATTTGGCCCTGGCCTGAGGGAGCTATGTTGGTTTTTCTCTCAGCAAAAGTTGGGGAGAAAAGAACATTATAACTGGTATTACCACCAAGATGTGGCTTCTGTTGTCTGACATTGGACCTTGAAGATTACCCAAGTTTTACCCTTCAAACAGGAGAAACTAGGGGCCTGAGAGTCCCCAAACTCTAGAGACGAAGGCAATTTTGCACATAACAGTAGACGACGAGAGGAGGGCACAAAGGATTAAACTGTTGTCTAGGCCAGGCCTTCAGGTTCTTGAATGGGCCTTGTCTGACTCTGGCTCCAGTACAGAGACGGAAAGGTAGAGACCTAATTTAAAAACCTGCCCTTCGGTAATACATAGAGACAGAAAGTAGATCAGTGGTTACTATGGGCTGAGGGGAGAGGAGAATAGGGAGTTATTGCTTAATGGATAGAGTTTTGTTTCGGGGTGTTTAAAAAGTTTTGGAAACAAATGGTGGTGATGATTGTACAACACTGTAAATATAATTCATGCCACTGAATTGTATACTTAACAATGGTTAAAAGGTTGCTCAGTGGTTAAAGTGCTCGACTGCCAAAATGTCTGTGGTTCAAACCCACCAGCCGTTCTGTGGGAGGAAGATGTGGCAGTCTGCTTCTGTAAAGATTTACAGCCTTGGAAACTCTATTGGGCAGTTATGCTTCATCCTGTAGAGTTGCTATGAGTCAGAATTGACTTGACAGCAGTGGAGTTTCTCTCTCTATATATATATATATA